TTCGAATAATATATTAGTTTCTCTCTATACTTGTCTTTACTTTATAGTCTTTGTTTCATAACATTTTTAAGTTAGAAGTGAAGCAGAAGTAAAAGCGAGGGAGAAGTGAAAAATTTGCCACGCATTGGACACGTGGCTTACAAAGTAAACCCACTTGTGTACTACTACTATACATTTTGTATATATCTTGTTTTTTTTTGTTATCACAATTTATATTTTCCTAATTTATCTTTATTTTTTTTGGTTTCACACTCGGTGTCCGGTATTCGCATTGGAGTTCGGCTATATTGGAATTCATGTTGCGTAGGGCTTCATTCGGAGGGAAGCGCTCCCTACTAAGAATTTTTTCATACTCAGGGCTCGAACTCGAAACCTCTGGTTAAGGAAGAACAGTCTCATCCACTGCACCATATCATTTGAAACTAGACCTTTAGAGGATATTCATAAATATCAATATGAAATACAAAAATTGTGCGTACAAAATACTCTTCTTATCAATATGCATATGAAATACAAAATTGCGCCCACAAAATATTTTTTTTGTCAATATAAAATTTATGTCTTCCTGTCAACAAAATGCTCCTTATTTTGGTACATAAATACAAATTTGTGCTCACATCTATTTGCTATCATAACTGCAAGAAAAATTATATCAACAAATACTATTTACTATTAAATTAAAATAAGATCGATATAAACTTGTAGTATTGCTGTAACTATTTTAGTGCGAATATTATATCTTACTTTGTTGTAGTATTCCAGTTGATCATTACAGACGTCAAGCTGAATTAAATCTAGTTGCTTTTTTTTTTTTTTTGTGAGCAATATGCAAAGAATCCATAATAGATTGAGAAAGAATTTACCTTAAATTCATGGATAAACAGAAATTACGAAAGATCTTTAGAATTGAGCTAAATTTCTGCTATACATTTATTCACTTTTTTACTTTCATTATATTTTTATTCTATCTCCTATTCATAAGAGTAAATTTTAAATTTATATTGAATGATGTATTTTGACATATTTAAATTATCACGTAAATAATAAATAATACCATACACTCAATATTATTGCTTTGAAATAACTATATTTTATATTAATTAGAATTTTTACTTCACGTTCTATGTTTAATTAAATCTTTTCTAATAAATATTTTAAATTTATTTTTCTTTTCTAAATAATACTAATCGCAAATTTAACATTTACTGTCCATTTTCGTAATTTGATAGTTAAAAGTATTTTTTTAAAAGATTGGTTAAACATAATGAGCTTGCAAAAAGCACTACTCAACCGAATTGGTCAAACACAAGCTACTTATTTTATAAAAGTATTTTTTCATGAAGTACTTTTAAACAAATACTTTTAAAAATAAATAATTTTTGACCGCTCAACCAAGCGGGCTCCAAGCTGTAAAAGTGTTCTAAATATTGTAGGGAGGAATACGATCAAGAATTGATTAAGTAGAAGAAATGAGATTGTCAATACACGAAAATATGCTCTTTTTTATCTCACAAATTTATGGATCCCAATATTATACTTCTGGGTTCATAAAATTCTGGGTCCACAAAACTGTGAGAAAAAAAAATTGACTCATACAACTAGTGTTAGTTGTATGAGACACAAAATAAAATTTTTCTTGAGTGACACACCTTACGTTTGACAAGTGTCTTTGTGGGTCCATTTGCGGTAAATTCTATACAAAAATATATACTATGACTAAATTATCTCTAATTAAATTCTTAATGTGAATAGTAAGGAAACTTTTTAGTAATATGTACATAAGAGTTATTTTGTAAAAATAAATTAAATTATTTCTCTATTATATAATTGGACACTTATTTTGAACCAAAATAAAAAAATAAATTAATCTTGTGAACGAACGGAATAAATAAAGAAGAAAAAGTGAGTTAGTGGATTGTGGGCCAACTGAAAGGACATGTCAAATGGGCCGGATCGGGTCGACCCATTTAACAGGTGTAACTACTACTAGTACTATATTTCTCTTTCTTCCGAGCAAAGGTCATAATCTATCCAGAGCTGAAGTAGCACACAAAATCCAATCCAGAGAAAAGGGCAAATTCTATCATCAGCAAAATCTTCTTCCTTTGTAAGCTTAAAATCGTCTTCCATTATTTTGTTTAATTATTTTACCCAAACCCATCCGAAATGGATTTTTCAGATGGATTTTAATGGATACTACTCAAGAGGTTAATACTATGCTCAAGCAGCATGTTAGTATTCTTGGTGAACAGATCACTTCTATTGCTACTGGTAGCATCCAACCTCCATCAGAGGTGAGAGAATTTAAATTAAAACGTCTCCACCAGATGGATTTTAATCGATACGATGGTATCAATCTTTCCCATAGTTTTAGTGGGACAAAAATCTATGAATGGAACATAGATGGCTTCACTGATCGTCAGATCTATAATACGATACGTTGAATTCGTATGTATAGTACAATATGTGAGGTTAATGGTAATAAGGATAAAGCAATTGCTGAAATGATTGTAGCAGGCTTTACAGGCCAATTACAAGGTTGGTGGGATAATTACCTTACTGCTGAGCACAAGGCAACCATTATGGGAGCAGTAAAGGTAGAGAATGGGCAAAATGTCCAAAATGCTGTTGATTCATTAGTTATTAATATTATTGAACACTTCTCAGGAGGATGGTATGATAATAGTGAGACCATACAAACTATGCTCCATAATCTTAGGTGCAAAACTTCAACACCTTTTAGGTGGTATAAAGATGTATTCCTTTCCGGTGTTATGAAATTACCAGAGTGTAATAGCACTCTCTGGAAGTCCAAATTTATTGATGGACTCCCTCCATTATTTGCTGAAAGGGTTAGAAAAACCCTTAGAGGGACATCAATAAGTATCGACTATAATAGTTACACTTATGGAGAACTTATTAGTGTATGCAATCAAGAAGGTTTAGCTTTATACAATGAGATTAAGCTAGAAAAGCAGATGATGAAACATCGTCGAAGATAATATCTTTTACGATGGCATAGCAGCCATGCATTTCTTCGATATAGTGTCATACGCCACTCCTCCTTATAAATAAAGGATGAATTACGAGTTAATACTCTCGTCTATTGGATCAACTGAAATTCAACATTTCTTTTTACCGTAATACAAAAGATATTAGCCTCAGATGAATGGGGACTTAGTACCGTAAAGGAAAGGTAATATGCCCTCCTCTTTTTAAGAGTTTATACACTCAATGGGTAGACATATTCCCAAATTATTGTTTTACAAAAAGATAATATCTTTATGATGGCATATCAACCATGTGTTTCTTTAAAGAGAGAGATGTGGAAGTGAGTCATATGCCAGAAGGGTTCCCTTGCTTAAATAGAATTTTTTAAACAAAGTTATGGAGTAAATTACTCCAAACAGATCGATAATCCAAGAACTCCAAACCAATTTTCGGAGTGGAACCTATACAAATTGCCTTCATCATTTTTCACGGGTTCACAGTTGAGGCATTTGACCCTCCAAAATTGTCTAGTATGTCCTCCACCAGCTTTCAAAGGATTTGAAAATCTCAGATACTGTAAACCACATTCAAATTAAAGCTCCCAAGTTGAGATCCTTCGACTTCTCAGGCGGGATAAAACTTATTTTCCTTAAACAATGTTCCTCATCATGCTAAGCTCTCTCTTTTGTATGGAGAATCTTTTGAGGAATCCGAAAAATGCGATCTTGACAAATGTTTTCAGTCACATTATGCTCTTGAGCATCTCCGCTTGGAATATGGGAGTGTCCAGGTAAGTGTTGCTTTAGAACTTCATTGTAATGCATTTTAATGGAATGTACCATCTTTTGGGATTTGAGTCATCTTGATTTTTCATTTTATTTGTAGTTCTTGGTTGCTGAAGTACCAAGAAGGCTTTCCGTTGCTCTTACTATCTTAAACGTCTTTGCGTATCNCGTTGCTCTTAACTATCTTAAACGTCTTTGCGCATCTCTGGATGGACTAGACGATCTTTCCTGTGCTCTTTGCTTGCTGCGAAGCTCCCCATATTTACAACATCTTGAAGTGAAGGTTATTAATGAAGTTTATATTTCCCTTTTTCTTTTGTAACTGTTTAAGTTGTTGGACCAAGAGGTCATTAGTTCGAGTCGTGGAAACATCCTCTTGCGGAAATGTAGGGTAAGGTTGTGTACGATAGACCCTTCAGTCTAGCCTTTCCCCTGACCCCGTATATAGCGGGAGCTGAGCTGCCCTTTTTTTCTTTTGTATGTGGTATTTGTAATGGTGACTTATTTTCATACTCATTTGTCTTCAATCTTCTTAATCTTTCTTAGGTATCTATGGATGAATTGGATGATGAAGTTGAAGTTTCTGCAAGCTTCTCAGTTGTGACATTGAATCACCTCAGGACTGTTGAAATTGAAGGAATAACAGGCACAATACTTGATATGCAGCTTATCAAGCTTCTATTGGCCAAATCTCCGATGCTGGTGAGAATGCTAATTGAGCCAGACTTATATTTGGGTAAACAAAGAAAAAGGAGCTGACATACTTGCAGAGTTATCAACATTTCAGCGGGCATCGCGTAAAGCTGAAATTGTATGTCAAATGGAGTTGAGTTAGGAGAATGCAGTAGTATATGGATGTATTTCTGTGACTTGGATATGAACCTAGTCTATAAAAAGTTATAACAAATGTCTATCTAGTATTATAACAGTGTGTTTAGCCTTGCCGTTTTTAGATAGAGAGACGAGTGAATATCTATTTGGGAACATGAGCTTGCTTGATGGACATTTTTAGTTGGTTTGTTCTGTAATAACATTGTCATTACATGTTAAGAATGTTTACATTTAGTTGCCTGCAAATGAATGATTTATGGAATGTGACATACACATGAATTGATGCTGTGGTGGTTTACTTCAATATTATGTTGTGGAGCAGGCAACTGATTCTAATATGATATATATAATACATTTAATCTTCTATTTTATGGAGCTTTGTTGTTTTCAAGCCAAAGTAATGTTGTTCTTATTCACTGATTCTAATGTCATTGCCAACTATGATTCTCCTTTGAACATGCCAGAAGACTTGGTTTTCTATAATATACACATTATATATTGGAGATGTGAGAGGTTGACATTGGAGGGCTTTCTGTAATATGCTTCATTGCTTTGTACTTGTATATGCTTATGTATGCATTTGTACATCTATATGTATTATAATTAACCACCATAGTATCAATTCATGTGTATTAAGTCACATTTGAATCTCTCAGTTTAGAGCAGGCACTAAATGTAAAATCCTTAACATGAAATGACAATGTTATTCCAGGACAGACTAATTGAAAACATTCACATATAAGGGCTCCAATACGGATACTAGACACCGAATGGGAAACCAATGTCACTTCATGTGTATGTCACATTCCATCACTAAAAAGGCAGTCCGGTGCACTAAACTCTTCCTATGCTCCGGGTTGGGGAAGGGCTCCATTGAATGCAACCTTACACTACATTTTTTAAGGAGGCTGTAAAAGTGAAAAATCCTTAACATGTAATGACAGTGTTATTACAGCACAAACTAATTGAAACATCCATCCAGCAATGCCATGTTCTGAAACAGATACAGCAAGGGAAAACACTGTTCTACAGCTACATCAACATTTGTTTCTCTTTTCAATATTTATTTCTAAGCTCAAGATCCTAATATATTTAATCTAAATAGACTACTTCTGCTTTAGGTGATGCATGTGAAAATTTTGATATCTCAGCGAAAACTTGTAATCTTGTGTCAAGAGGTTCATCATCTAGAAACCGTCGATCGATTAGCATTCTGACCAACACTGGGGAGTTGGCTAACAAAAGCTTGATAAGCTGCATCTCAGACGTTCTTCCTGTAAAGAGTTCTATCTTAACTTCCCTTAGGTGATTAAATGTCACGTTTGACAAGTGTTTGAGTTCAAGGGATTCCTCTGTACCACTATCATCTTCATTGTAAACCTAAAAAAGATAACAAGTCAACTCTCAGATTATTGAGGATCTAAGAAATATGAAAAATAGTCACTAAATAAGAAAGAAAGAAAGAAAGAACGAACCTGTATTTCGAGATATTCTAAACATGGGAGGCTTCTTATCAAGAAAAGCGCAAATGAGAGCTTATATGAATCTATCAGCATAATATGAGGCAGGTAAAATCGTTTGACGCTGTTAAGAACAAAGGGACGCCTTGTTGGTGCTTCATCGTAATCATCATAGAACTAGGAAAAAAATAACCAAAATTCAAGATGATTCAGCCCAAAAGAAGTTCAATCTGCTAAAGTGCATAACAATGAAGTCATGAAGTAACACCTACCATGGCATTAAAGAAGTCCAAGCGGAGATGCTCGAGAGCAGAACAAGACTCGAAAACCTTTGCAAAATCAAGATTCTCTGCCCTCATATCGTCACCTGCCAGAGATACTTTTACCAGAAGAGGGACATTCTTTAAGCAGATAAAACTTATATCGCCTCTAAAATTAAACGATCTCAACATTGGGGCATTAATTTCAATAATGCTTAAAATTTCTGGGATATTCAGAATCAACCTCGTAAGCACCCGACAACGAGATATTAAACTTTCGAGCAATACAGAAGAAATTTTAACATTACATAGTTCCAAGCTGGTTAACATATCAAAACCTTGAAAGGCCGATGGAGGATGCATTAAACAGTTACGAAGAGTTAGATGCCTCAGCTGCGAACAAGTGAAAAGTGAAGAAGGCAATTTGTATAGCATTTTCCACGAAAGGTCAAGAACAAGATGTTGAATGTCTTTCCTAGAGAGGAAAGAGATGAAGTTACCAATGTCAGGAGAGTTTTCTAGAAAACCAATGTTAAGGGTAAACTTAGTAATGGGTCCTTCATGAAGGGACAAAAGCTGGTAGATAATCTTTGTAAATTTGACTGTAGGGTTTAGTAAATCTTTTTTTGTTACCCACAGAGATGAATCAAGCGTCAACTTTGTAAGTCTACACCAGTGATACCTCCATTTCTTCGATAAGATGCTAGTCCTCACAGCATCTTTACAAGGCAAACACATCAGAATGACATCGATTACATTATCAGGAAGGTCGCTAAGGACGTCAGGAGGTAAACTTCGACAATACTTTCTTCTCTTAGGAGGCATCATATAATAATAATCGCCAAGAACCTGCAGAAAATAAGCAATTATACGAAGTAAGGAATACCCAAACTACTTGGATAGAACGGCTATACACACGGTCAAATCAACATAAGAAATAAAGGTGCATTCTAGTTGAAATTAGTCAATTATGTCCTTTTATTATCTAAATAATAAAATATATAATTATTAAAAAGGGTAAGACTAGAAAAAACAAAGTAACATGTTACCATTAGGGGTGTACATAGGTCGGGTTGATTCGAATATTACAATTAACAAACCAAACCAATTGTATCGGGTTATTAAATTTAAAGACCAAACCAAACCAATAAAATTCGGGTTTTTCAATCTCGATTTTTCTCGGGTTTTCGGGTTAGTCGGGTTTTTTCGGGATTTTTTCCGGTAAAATCTTCGTAGAACAAAACGTATAACGTATGCTCAAAAAATTCTTTAATCCTAGTAAGATATAACTATATAAAGTATTTTCCAAGAAAATAATACAAAATATGAGACGTGACATGACATTATCCTAAAATATTCAACAATAAAATTATGTTATAAAAATATTACTAATTAAAAAGCCATAATAAAAATATACATAATCTAAAAGTACTAAGTCATGCTAAAATAAATAGACTAATAAGGGAGTATTAATTATATGACTAAACGCTAAAGAAAAACAAAAATATGTTATGCATTTTTATCTAAATTATTGCAAAACAAAAAATAGATATTTAATACATTCTCGTTTGCAATATTGAATTGAATGTCTTTTGTTAGCATTAGTATTGATTTGATTTTGGTTTGGGCTTTTATTAATATTATTTAATTTACTAATATTAATGGCTATAAAACTTATTGGAATATTCAAAAGTTATAAGTCCAACCTTGAAATAATACCTTAAAAGATAAAATTATGAATTTTTTTAAGAAATATTTATAAATTACATCAAAATAAGTATATTTATATATTAAATATATCTAACAATTTTATATATGTAATGTCGGGTTGGTTTGATTTCGGTTTGACTTTCTTTAGTTAAAACCAAACCAAACCAACTATGGTCGGATTTTTTTTTCCAAATCAAACCAAACCATAGTCGAATTTTTATCAGTTTGATTCGGATTATCGAGTTGGTGCGGTTTGTCGGTTTCCTTTGTGCAACCTAACTACCATACCAAATCTATCTTTTATAAAGTGATACTTTTTATCATTACCTAACGATAAATAAAATAATATGATAATAAAATTTAAATAATAATTAAAAATAAATATTATATTTAAAATAACAATACGATATACTCCCTTAAATAACAACCATCCAAACAAATCCAAACAAGTTGTTAAAAATTCTTTGAATTTTTTTTCTTTTTTTAGTCCCATAGTAGTTATGGAAACTTGTGAAAAGTAAACATTGTGGCCAAGAGCTGAAGCAGCACATAGTAAAAAGCAGATTAGCTCCAAAAATTTGCCACGCATCGGACACGTGCTCACAAATTAAGCCCACTTGTTCATTTTCCTTTCAAGCAAAAGCTGAAGCAGTACACAAGTAGGTTTCTCAGAGAAAAAGGTAGATCCATCATCAGCAAAATCTTCTTGCTTGTTAAGTTTAAAATTTTCTTCCCATTATTTTGTTATTTTATTTTGTGCGTTTTATCGTCAGAAAAATTAAGTGGGCATTTGGACATAAAAATTGTAAAATTCCAAAAAAGAGTGATTTTTTATTTTTTTACTGAAAATGGTATTTAAAAATTAGAGTTGTGTTTGGACATGAACATAATTTTGGTTTGTTTTTGAAGTTTTGTGACCGATGTGAGTGAAAATTTTGAAAAATAGCTTTTTGAAGTTTTTCAAATTTCCGAAAAAATTTCAAAATGCAAAATTAGAAATTTTAAGAACAAACGATGATTTCGCGAAAAATTGAAATTTTTTCTTATGTCCAAACGGGCTCTAAGTCTTTTATCTTCTGTCTCATACTCTGTTTTAGTAGTTGTTTCCTTTGGATATGTACATGTCTATAAAGAAATATTCATTTTGGAAGCAAAAAATTAGAGACAAGTATAATATGAAAATTAAAGCGTTTTCTTTCCCCACTTAAAATGGTGATGCCTTGGCTAGCTTTCGCTCCTTGACTATTTCTTGGGCACTTGTAAACTCTATCCATTCCATTAATATTTAAGTAGATAGAAAGAAATCACCTAACTACTTTTTTGGATGGTTGTTGTCTAGATTTGAACTTAGTCTGCTATGGTTTTAGGTCCACCTTCATTAACCGATAGGCTATACCGTTGTGTAAGGAACGCATAAGGAAACATAAGTAGATCTTCAACAATAACATTCTCGGTGTAATCCCACACGTGGGGCCCGAGGAGGGTAGTGTGTACGTAGACCTTTTCCCTACCTCGTGGGGTAGAGAGGCTCTTTCCCAGTGACGGATTCAGGATTTTTATGTAATGGGTGCTCGACAACAACATACCCACTGAAATCCCACAAATGGGTCTGGGAAGAGTAATTTGTATGTAGACCTTACCCTAACCTTAGATAGGTAGAGAGATTATTCCCAATAGACCCTTATCCATACCCAGTGGTCGACTACTTTTAATTTTGGTATACACATAATATAAGTATATCTGATACGTGGTATTTATCCAACCTTTGATAGATAGAGTTATCTCATTAACTATTGCTGAAAGAAGATAATACATATCTCATGAAATTAGTCAGGTGCGCACAAGAAAAAAATATTTTTTTTTTAAAATAGAAGGGAAAAGATAACAAGAATAGGAAATAAGGAAAAGCGCAAAAGAGAAAAAATAGAAATAAAGAGAGGATCTTCTAACAGTAAATAAAAATGCTTCAATCAAGTTTTGATTGTCCGATATAGAGAGCTAAGAGTGACCTTAAACCAAAGCACCCAACCCCAAGTTTTGCTCGTGGGTGCTCATTGTCATTATATAGCAATTTTTCAGAATTTCATATAAAATATACTGTTTCGGACTCTTAAACAATGGGTGCTTATTGAATGTGGATCCACCCATGCTCTTTCCAAAGACTCGAAGGAGAAAATGAAAGGGGGCAGTAGCAATGAGCAACAACAATATCGATATAGAAACAATAGTGATATAATAAAATAAATGAAGCAAAAGAAATAACAGGTAGAATATAACTCTAGAAAAAACAAAAAAAGACTACAAGACTCATACTATTGCCACTAGGATGACAAAGGAATACACCTAGCTACCCCCTTACCTTCTGCCCTAATTCTCGACTTCCACACCCTCCTAATTAGGGTTATGTCGTTACTAAGCTCAAGTAGCATCATGTCCCGCTTAATCACCTCACCCTAATCACCTGATATAGATCTTCCTTCACCAAAAATCTTAAGTCTTGGTAAGCTGAATTTTTTTTATAAATTGCTCTTAGATGATTACGTTACATTTCCTCCATTGGTAATTTAATAGAATTCAACTTGATACTTAATAAATACTAAGGTAAGTATTAGGTTATTGGAAATCTAATAGTAGCTGATTTGCTGTTGAATCCAGCAAAAGTGTGAACAGCTGCTGAGCTGCTTTTTAAGAGTGAAAATTACCAGATGCTGGTCAAATTTTTGAAGCTTATTAGCGGCAAAAGACAATGTGATTCTCATATGTGTTGTTTTGAATTTTCCTTTCCAATAACAAATCTGTATAATCCCCTGTATTCTTGAATTATTATTGGAAAGGTGTTGTTGCTCTAAAGAATGCAATTTATAGATATCAGGAGGAGATGGATGAGTGTCATTTGTGTACTATATGCAGATAATTTGAATACTACTTACCTGTGTGTTCTTGTTTATTTTCTGCAGATTCCTCTTGGCGTTTATGATGCCACCTAGGACTACCGATCTACCTGAAAATGTTGTCAATGCCATTCTGATGCGTTTGCCTTTGCGAGATGCGATGAGGACGAGCATCTTATCAAAGAAATGGAGGTATAACTGGTGCAGACTTCCACAGTTGACACTTGATGATAAACTTTGGAAGACGACAGATAACTTTCCATCCCCTTCTATTAAGTTTGCAAGCATTATGTACAGCATTTTGACCCTTCATTGTGGACCAGTTACTAAGTTTACCCTCTCCATGTCTGAACTGAAAAAGTATCCTCAGATTGGCAGCTTGATATATTTCCTCTCTAGGAACGGCATTGAACATCTTGTTCTTCAATTTTCGGAGTGGAACCGATACAAATTGCCTCCATCATTTTTCACGTGTTCGCAGTTGAGGCATTTGACACTCCAAAATTGTTTAATATGTCCTCCACCAGCCTTCAAAGGATTTGATATGTTAATTAGTCTGGAACTGTGTTATGTCTCAATTTCCTCTACGTCACTAGAAAGTTTAATCTCTTGTAGCCCGTTTCTTGAGAATTTAGTATTGAAAATCTCAGATACTGTAAACCACATTCAAATTAAAGCTCCCAATTTGAGATCCTTCGACTTCTCGGGCTTTATAAAACTTATTTCCTTAAACAATGTTCCTCTTCTTGCTAAGCTCTCTCTTTTGTATGGAGAATCTTTTGAGGAATCAGAAAAATGCGATCTTGACAAATTTTTTCAGTCACATCATGCTCTTGAGCACCTCCGCTTGGAATACGGGAGTGTCCAGGTAAGTGTTGCTTTAGAACTTCATTGTAATGCATTTTAATGGAATGTACCATCTTTTGGGATTTGAGTCATCTTGATTTTTTGTTTTATTTTGTAGTTCTTGGTTGCTGAAGTACCAAGAAGGCTTTCCCTTGCTCTTAACCATCTTAAACGTCTTTGCGTATTTCTGGATGGACTAGACGATCTTTCCTGTGCTCTTTGCTTGCTGCGAAGCTCCCCATATTTACAAGATCTTGATGTGAAGGTTTTTAATGATGTTTATATTTCTCTTTTTCTTCTATAACTGGTAAAGTTGCCTCCATGTGACCAGGAGGTCACGGGTTCGAGCCGTGGAAACGGTCTCTTGCAGAAATGTAGGGTAAGGCTGCGTACAATAGACCCTTGTGGTCCAGCCTTTCTTCCGACCCCGCATATAGCGGGAGCTTAGTGCACCGGGCTGCCCTTTTCTTTTCTTTTGTATGTAATAACGGTTTCCTTATTTTCATACTCATTAGATCTTCAATCTTCTTAATCTTTCTTAGGTATCTATGGATGAATCAGATGATGAAGCTGATGACATTTCTACAAGCTTTTCAGATGTGACATTGAATCATGTTAGGACGGTTAAAGTTAAAGGAATAACAGGCACAAAGCTTGATATGCAGCTTATCAAGCTTCTATTGGCCAAATCTCCGATGCTGGTGAGAATGTTGATTGAGCCAGACTTTTATTGGGTAAACAAAGAAAAAGGAGCGGAGATACTTGCAGAGTTATCGACATTTCAGCGGGCATCACGTAAAGCTGAAATTGTATATCAGCTGGAAAGGGAATGGAATTGAGTCAGGAGAATGCAATATTATATGGATGTCTTTTGTCTGGTGGAGAGTAGTATTTCTATGACTTGGATATGAACCTAAACTTTGGCTGTTTATTTTCTGTGTTGGTTTGGTTCTCTACTTGCCTCTACCTCGCCAGATATGGGTAAGGTTTGCGTACACACTATTCTTTCCAGATCTCACTTGTGGAATTATACTGGGTATGGATATTTTGTTGTTGTTGTTGTTGTTGGTGGTGGTTTGGTTCTCTACTTCGATAGATAAAATCCCTTTAGCGGTTTCTCCTAACAAAGTCTATTCCTGTAATGTAGAGGTTCATCAATTGCAAAAGCGATTAGTGTTACTACTACATCGATATTTGTTTCTCTTATTCAATTTTAACTTCCATAACATTTCAACCAAACTTCATGATTTGATTAAATTTCCACGTTCATAAAATTTTACATAGACTACTTCTTGCTTTAGAAGATGCACACAAAAATCTTTGATACCTCAGTGAATATTTTGGTCTGGTACTTCATCTTCATTGATGAGTAAGCTTTTCATGGCCACGAACTTGAAAGCTTGCGCCATATCTTATCCCACCGCTTATCCTTTCAATCGATTAGGGGTCGTTTGGTTGGGAAACATGTGATTTTTGGAACCCCAGAAAAATTCGCAGCGGCTACAGCCTCTGTCGTGAGCATTATGTGCGCAGTGAATAAACTCTACTATGTAATAGCCTACAAACCATACAGGATATATAAATCGCACTAGGCGACAGGCTCGACCCAAAAGGCATTGAGGGGGATCTATCCCAGGTCATCTACATGGATGACCGCCCTTCAAACCAACTGGACCATCCCCGAAGCGATTCTCCTGTAATTATTATCCCACCCTTTCATAGGGATAAAAATAACATTATAATTATAGAATAACTAATCCTGTTACACTACAATTTTATTCCATTCAAATATGGGATAAACTCACCTCAAATTTAATTTCAAAATTAATTATTCTTATCACTCGTACCAAACGAGCCCTTAATCTCTTAGTTTGTCTATAAATGTTTTTATTTTTCTTGCTTTCGTTAAGGAAATTTTCCTTCTTTATTTTGTAACAAAACTGTATTTTAACTAACAACTTGTTAGATGGTTGTTACCCATTGTATTGTATCGTATTGTTACTTTAAATGCAATGTTTGTTTTGATTGTTACTTAAATTTTATTGTATCGTATTGTTACTTTAAATGCAATGTTTGTTTTGATTGTTACTTAAATTTTATTGTATCGTATTGTTACTTTAAATGCAATGTTTGTTTTGATTGTTACTTAAATTTTATTGTATCGTATTGTTAAATCCGTCGTTACATAATGACGGAATGTGCCACTTTATGTAACGACCGATTTGTTGTGGTCGCGTCGTTACCTTGTCTTTTTCTCTCAATCTCACCCTTTATTATTATAAAATTATTTTATTTTAACATTTACCCTACCTTTTTATATAGTAATTTTACGTTGTATCATAATTATTTTTAATAATATTGCAAGTTTATTCTTCATATTGCTGGTGCGTGATATCATGAAACTATGACAAACGACACAATCTGTCCAAACATTGTATTTATTAAACAATACAGTACGATACGATACATTATGAAATAATGTATAACAACCATCCAAACAAGCCGTAAGAAACCGGTTTTTAGCCTGTGAGTACGGTGGACTTGATCCCGTAGGATGTCATTGCATAGTACTGATCAGAATCTATTATAATTTGTTATGTTTAGGATGGAAGTAACAGGAAGCTACTATAGTCGTTTGTCTCCTCTCCTTTGCTTTGAAATCTTTCCGTCCAAATATAATTGCTAATGGTGGAACAAATGAAAGAAAAAAAAGCGACTTGAAGTTGCTTGCATGCCACATAGATGTCATTACTTGGACTCTAGAGGAACAATCTGACAGGTCAACGCTTCGGGATTTAACCCTTTACTGGCCTAACAGCTTAGAATGTTAAACGTGTAAGGTGCTACATATTATTTAAGGAATATGACCATGCATTTAGAATATGCTAAGTTTTGTAAAGTTTGCGTAAAGAGATGCTTGGTGAGGATAAAATTTTCTTCTTTGCTAAGTTTTGCTAGATCTGAGCTTTGTTGTTTCATTAATCTGTCTATATGTACCCTCTCTCTTACACTTCTGTTTAGGTTCATATTTTTTGATGACCTTCCAGTTTAACTGCTTCAGTAATATCAGCTTATGGAAGATTTGTTTCTTTTGATAGTTGTTAAAGATCAAGAAATTGAATGCATTTTACTGTTGTCTTCGTTTTCAGCTCTAAATCCTGATAAATGGATTGAATTTAAGCTGCAAGATCGAGCACCAGTTAGCCACAATAGTCATCTGTTCAGGTTATTTTTATCTTAATAAGATTGTGGCTTTAATGCTTTATTAGTGATGTTACTCATTCATTGATGACCTCCCTGTGATATTCCATTTTGTATAGAAGATTGGGTGTTGTTCGTAGAAGACTATTTCATTTTGTAGGTTTCTTACTTTTGTATACAGGCGTTTTCTTTGCCCAAACATTAATAAAATTATTTTGTTATCAAAAAGAAAATGATGTCTCTCCCTGTGAACTAAATCTGGCTTGTTTGGTCAAAAAACTCTGTAGGCAAATTGAGTTCATAATACCACTATTGCAACTGTGGTCTTACACCAATTAAAATATGAAAAACCAAGCTTTCTAGCCTATCTGTATCTAAAGAAGGTGGTTGAATGTGTGGACTTTAGCTTTTGGGAAGCACTATTTCCTTTTTATCCTGCATCATAACATCACCTGAATCTTGTTATTGCATACTGTTTTAGAAGATTCTAATAAAAGGTTGGGAAGGTTGGGCATGTAGATTAAAGGAAAGAGTCAACTAATAAGTTTGCTTTTTCAACTATCTGTTCCTTCTCAATCTTTTTTCCTTTACTACTCTTTCTTTGGATTTAGAAAATGCTAGCTGGCGGGGTGGAAAAAAAACCTTTGGTTTTGTTGCCATCGGTTGTTTCTGCTAGTACTAAGTAGATAATTGTGGACTTCTGTGTATCGTTTCCACTCACTATGTTTGCTACTAAATATATCATGTTGGACTTTCATGTTATAACAGGGTAGACTTTACATTGTAAGGTAGATAGACTAGCCTCCCGAGCTGGGTTCGTATATTTGGTTTTATGACTGTTGAAATCCCCTTCAAGTTTTTTTTTTTTTTTTTTTTTGGCAATCCGCTAGGCAAGCGCCTAGGGTTAGTTTTTTATTAATAAACGAAAATAAAAGNAATCACAATTTGACTTGTATTAACACCTGGAGTGGCCTGCTTGGCACATGTTTCCGCTGCGCTACCCAACCTTCCAGCTGCTGCATCTGGCATAGCAGCAGTAGGAGAGTTTCTGGGGATGAAAATAGGAGCATGAATGTTCAATTTGATCGTGGGACTTGATGTTGTTGCCTCATGAGGCTTTGGCTTTACTGGAGGATCGATCTCCTCAC